TTACTATTTATTTATTTCAGGTACTTGTATAGCACTGTCAATTTTACGCAGCGCTTTGCATATATATTGTACATTCACATCAGTCCATAACCCTCAAGGGGCGTACAATCTAAGGTCCCTAACTCACATTCGTACATACACATACTAGGGCCAATTTAGACAGCTACCAGTTAACCTACCAGCATGTCTTTGGAGTGTGAGAGGAAACTGGGGGTACCAGGAGGAAACCCACGCAGGCACAGGAAGAACATACAAACTCCAGGCAGGAGGTGGTGTGGCCGGGATTCGAACCAACGACCCTAGTACTGCCAGGTGGAAGTGCTAACCATTTAGCCACTGTGCTGCCCATACTATGATAACTTTGTATTGCTCTGGTCACAGTGAAAAACATTTAAAAAAAAAAAAAATATTTATTTTTTTTACATACTGCCACCAGTCAGTGTCCCTGATCACCACCACACCAGTTATGACAACTCTGTACTGGACTAGTGACAATATGTTTTAAAAAAAAATAATTTTTTTTTTCTTTCTCTTTTTTTTTAATTCATTTTCCAAAAAATTGTGGCAAACAATTACAACTTCAAAAAACTTTGCCATTACTAAATACCTTGGACTTTCTGTTTTCCAAAAATGGGTCTTTTTGTGGATATTTGTACTATCCTAGCATTTTTGGGCCTCAAAAACTGAAACTGGCTACCAGGACTGATCGATTGTCAGATATATATATACCATAGTTTTTGGACTCTATACCTTTCCTACAGACTAAATAATATACTCTAATTTTGGTATTTTACCCAAAGAAATGTAGCAGAATTTATTTTGACATAAATTTATGAAGAAAGGTTATTTATTTATTTTCAAATGTTTGTTTTATTTTGTTTAGCAACGAGTTTATGACCCCCCCCCCCACAGTCTTTGCTTTTGCTCTGTCTTGTCTCTACTGTCTAATCCTAGTTTTATAACCATTGCTGTGTTCATTTGTTTTGTTTTGTTTTTTTTTTCCCCTCAGAGATTGTTTCTTTTAACATTCTGCTAAAAACATTGTGAAGTAGTACTGCTTGGACCTTGAAGAAGGGGACATTCCCTGAAAGCTTGTCCTGAAAATTGTATGTTAGTGCAAATTAAAAAAGTATCACGGACAGTACTCATTTTTGTTTATCAAAAAATAAAAAAACTCGGTGATTAACCTCCCTGGCGGTATTCCCGAGTGTAGCTCGGGGTAGAGTTTCAGTACCAAAAGCGGTAACCCCGAGCTACACTCGGGCTTAGCATGCGGTGTTGCTCAGGGATTCACTGCAGCGCTTACCTTGTCCTTCGCTCCCACGATGTGTCCCCTGCAGCGTCCCCGGCCATCTCCTCCGGCCGATGCCGGCATCCGGCTTCCGTGTTCTGGTCCCTGTGACGTCGGCGGCAAATTTGAAAATTTTAAAAATTTTTATTTTTTTAAAAACGATTATTACATAGTAAAACATTGCTGTTTCAAAGCATTTCACATACATTTTGTCCCGAGTGCTTTGTCCTGTGCCCTGCCTGCATTTTTACTGTTCTTTCTGCCTGGAAACTTAGAAATGTCCATGGCGTCCAAAAAAGCGTCCCTTTAGGTCAAAAGGGGTTTTAGACCAGGTAGGGAACAGCGATAGTAAATCAGAATCACTTGCAGAATTGAGTGATAATGATTTGTGGGGGAAATTCGTCATCAGACACTGAAAACTATTTTGCGACTTTGCTCAGCGATGTGCGAACTTGGCGCTATATTTCAAATGTCAGTGTTTTTGGTTTGATTATATTATTGAATTAAATTTATTATTATTATGTTGTTAATTTTTATGATTATTTATTAAATTATAATTTATGATTTCATGTTTCAAGTTTTATCCTACCCGGAATGTTTACTAGACTCTTGTTCGGACAGATTTCAGTGCGTTATTCCTAAAAATTACAGGCCTACAATAAAAAAATACATATTTCCATGCAAAAAATAATGGTACCCCGCTTTCAGCACCGAAAAATATGAAATAATCATACCGCCAGGGAGGTTAAATACCACCAAAAGAAAGCCCTATTTGTGTGAACAAATTGCTAAACATTTTTTTATGGGTGCAGTGTTGCATGATCGCGCAATTGTCATTAAAAGTGTGACAATGCTGAAAGAAGAAAATTGGCCTGAGCAGGAAGGGGGTAAAAGTGCCCGGTATTGATGTGGGTAAAGCAGACCTTCAGTCCCACTCTGGCCAGGCTCTGCCCCCTCCCCCGGCACCGCCATTTTTGTGCAGGTGCTCCCATGGGGCTCTGATCAGCCTTTGGGTCCTGGCAGGGATCTTTTGCGCATCTACACGTACACAGGAGGTTTCCACAAAAAGACATGGTATGTTTCAGACTTCCCTGTTGCCTGGTTTGCCTGTATATGGCCAGGAAAACTTACACCCCTGAATATGTGCCATGTGGCTCTCTTCAGACCCGAGCCCTGCCGCACATCTGCATGCATGCACATCTCACCTAGGTGAGAAAGACAGATGTGCTGTTATTGCAGCACAAATAAAATGTATTCTAAAAAAAAAATTAAAAACAAAAAAATGCCCATTGGTAAGAGAGGGAAGGGGAGGAGGCAAGGCAGCACAAAAAAGGGTGAAAGTATTGTTTTAGTCTAGGGCAGTGTTTCTCAACTCCAGTCCTCATGGACCCCCAACAAGGTCATGTTTTCACAGGATTTCCATTATTTTGCACAGGTGATGTTTGAATCAGTTTCACTGCCTTAGTAATTACCACAGCTGTTTCATTGAGGGAAAAATGGAAATGTGACTGAAAACATGACCTGTTGGGGGTCCATGAGGACTGGAGTTGAGAAACACTGGTTATGGGGAGACATGAAAAAGTGTGTTCCACTTATCCTTCGAGTACTTTCAAAATGCTCCATAGCAAAATCACAGACTTTAAAAATGCATTTTGGGTTTTTGCAAGGTAAAAACGATTGTGCTGTGTTTCGAATGCATTTTCTGTGCATTTGTAGTGTGATTTTTGGTTACCCGCCCCTGTGAAGTAAATGGACATGTGACTCAAAAACTCAAAACACTGATAAGTGCGCGCGCTTTTGATGCATTTTGCAGTGTTTTCCATCCATTTTAATGGGAGCTGTTTCTTTGTGGTTTTCAATATAAATCACCATGCAGGATTTTCAAAATGCACCACATCCGCAGCACAATGGTGTGAAGAGTCAAATAGGATTTAAAGGGCAACCTTTTTCTTGCAAGGTAAAAATGCAGGAAAAACGTATCAGTTTGATAGGCCCTAATTCCTGCTTCAGCACTTTGTTCCTCTTCCTCTGGAGCTCAGGGCTGTGAGCGGTCCCTCAGCATCATCACATACAGTGCAGTGCTATAAACCTGGCAATGTACATGGAGGACATAGGAGTACAGCCACAGCTGGAAGGTGAGATGAGACATAGTAATTACATGTGCAACACAATCAACAATTTCCTGCAGTATGGAAGAGGTTTTATTTACCTGTAGTTTTCTTATCAACCATATTGTCGTCATACAGTAAACCATTGCAAATAACAGCTACTTGACTTTATTACATACATTGGTTCTAAATATGGGCTTTCATGAATTTGGTGCAAGGCTTCCGACAACATCCATACTGCCAGAGAATGTCACAAATGTCTTATTAAATGGCCTCCATAATGTTTTAAATGTAGAGCTCTTGAAAATCACTTAACATCAAGCAATGCTGTGTCCTGTTTTCTTTTCAATGAGAAAACCGCAAATATGTTGTCATAAGTCTCTGCCAACTCCTTCCACTACGTCATGGGTGATTGACAGCACAGCTTGCATGAGGTGTAAAAGAGGGACACCCTGTTGCATCATGGTAGCTGAGATTTTTATTTCAGGTTGAGACCTGCTGACCTAAGGATTAGGAGTGGCCACATGCAGGAACAGTAATTTGGATTCATCATACTATTGGATTACATTGACATTATGCTGTGCTTTAACTTGCATTGTGTTAGGTGAAGCCCATTAATTTAAATGGGTTTTCTAATGCACCAAAACCCACCCAAAAATGGTGCACCTCAACATATATTGCCAAAAGTATTGGGACACCCCTCCAAATCATTGGATTCAGGCGTTCCAATCACCACCATGGCCGCAGGTGTATAAAATCAAGTACCTAGGCATGCAGACTGCTTCTACAAACATATGTGAAAGAATGGGTCGCTCTCAGGAACTCACTGCATTCAAAACGTGGTACCGTGATAGGTTGCCACCTGTGCAATAAGTCCATCCATGAAATTTCCTTGCTACTAAATATTCCACAGTCAACTGTTAGTGGTATTATAACAAAGTGGAAGCAATTGGGAACAACAGCAACTAGGCCACATAAAATGACAGAGTGGGGTCAGGGCATGCTGAAGCGCACAGTGTGCAGACGTTGCCAACTCTAAGTGCAGTATTAACAATTTATTAGCAGACAATGGAAAATTTGCACTTACAAGATAAACGGTTAAAAAGACTCATTGTGTGGTAATTGGATCCAGGTGGGACATCCAGCCATCCAGCAGCAAGCTATGCCTATAGGATCAGATAGTAGAGTCCAGGATGTGTCTGTGCATCAAAAATGAAGCTTGGAGAGCAGAGTCAGGTGTAGCAGGTGAAAGGGGTGGTAATGCATTTCGGAGCATACTCTGGTCTGAAGAAGGAGCCTATTGAGCATGCTCCGAAATGCATTACCGAAATGCATGCACTTAGAGGCGCCTTCCTCTCTTTTTCTTGTTACTGCATTAGAGCCTTGCTTCTACTCTAAGAAGAGCTGCCTCAGTGTCACTGCTCCCATCCATCCATCCCTGATATCCATCTGGCACCTTTATATTACAGCTACAGAGGTTGGGCTCCAACAAGAGCGCCCTATATAATATACATTTTCTAGAAGTTGCCAACTGTCTGCAAAACCCATAGCTAAAGACCTCCAAACTTCATGTGGCCTACAGATTAGCACAACAACCGTGTGTAGAAAGCTTCATGGAGTGGGTTTCAATGTCTGAGTAGCTGCTTCCAAACCTTACTTCATCAAGTGCAGTGCAAAGCATTGGATGCAGTGGTGTAAAGCACGCTGCCACTGGACTTTAGAGAAGTAGAGACATTTTCTCTTGAGTGACCAATCATGCTTCTCTGTTTGGCAATCTGATGGATGTGTCTGGGTTTGGCGGGTTGCCGGGAGACCGGTACTTGCCTGACTGCATTGTGGCAGGTGTAAAGTTTGGTGAAGGGGGCATTCTGGTGTAGGGTTGTTTTTCAGGGTTTGAGATTGGCCCCTTAGTTCCAATAAAGGGAAGTCTTAAGGCGTTAGCATTCCAAGACATTTTGGACAATTTTATGCTCCCAACTTTGTGGGAACAGTTTGAGGATGGCCCCTTTTTTTCCAATATGACTGAGCACCAATGCACAAAGCAAGGTCCATAAAGACATGGATGAGCGAGTTTGGGGTGGAGGAACTTGACTGTCCTGCACAGAGTCCTGACCTCAACCCAATAGAACACCTTTGGGATGAATTAGAGTGGAGACTGCGAGTCAGGCCTTCTCGTCCTACCTTTGTACCTGACCTTGCAAATGCATTTCTGGAAGAATGGTCAAACATTCCCATAGACGCACTCCTAAACCTTGTGGATAGCCTTCCCAGAAGAGTTGAAGCTGTTATAGCTGCAAAGGGTGGGCCAACTCAATATTGAACCCTATGGACTAGGAGTGGGATGCCATTAAAGTTCATGTGTGTGTAAAGACAGAAGTCCCAATACTTTTGACAATTTAGTGTATGTCCGTGTATTGTGATGCTTAGTGGTGAAAACGTCCGTTGGCACAGTGTGTTATGGTGTCATTCATTCTGAATGGCACTCCATTGTACTAAACCATAATGTGCATGGCTGTGTTGTGCTAATACGTGCATTACTGCAATGCAATAATGTGAATGGGCCCTGATTCGAAAATCTGCCTCTGGCAGAAGCACCAGTATACTGTAAAAGTTTTGTTTGGGGTTTTTTTTGTTTGTTTTTTTGAAAGACAGGGTTGCTATGTCTCTAAAACCATAATGTGGTCATTTTGCTGGGCTATTTCAGATATACATGATATGAGTAATGAAAATGTATGTGGCACCTGATGTATCATTGTCCTCAAATCTTTAGCGCTATATCCAACTAGTGATTCTGGTGTTGGCAATAACTGGCCAGTGGCAGGATGGCTATTCAAGGCCCAGGCAGCGCAAAATACTCACTTGCATACATTGCTCTGTTGCTAGATGGATGAGCTTGGTGTCACTCTTGCTGGCTAGTGACATTCTGCAGCATATTCATCACCGTGGGAGCAATACTTCGCTCATCAAGCCAGCAAAGAAGGGACTCATGCAAGCAGGAGAGGGTTTTCAATGCACATTATAGCTATAAAGTTGTCAAGTTGGGGCTTTTAAAACTGTTTAATTTTTTTTTTTTTTTTTGGTGGTGAACCCCTGTCAGATTTGTAATGCTGTCTGTTCCCATTTTCACTCTTTGTATTTGTCCCAGTGATCTTCATCACCTGGACTGAAAGTGAGGAAATATCCAAAACTTTGAGTTGTCACCAAAACAGAAACCGAGGTGAAATTGTCCAATGTGGATACTTGTTCTGGAGATAACTGTATGAGGGCATTTTTCTACACATAGGGAAACCTCTCTAAGGCCTGGTTCACAGCTCTGCAGTTTGCTTTTGATAATTTCTGCAGTGCTTTTTGCAGTGTGTTTTTGCACACATGTTTTTGATGTGTTTTTCATTTATTAAGTTTTTTTTTTTTTTTTTTTTTTTGGACAATTTGTTGTTGACCAGATTAAAAACGCAGCTCCATTGAAGTCTATTGAACCAAAAATGCACAGTTATGCATTTAAAAAAAGTCCCTGGCCCCTTCCAAAAATAGCTAAAATCGTGGTTTTTTAGGGCAGGGAGGCAGGATTCCGCGTGTGAACATGAGAAGTAAATTCAGAAGACAAGGGCTCTGATTTGTGGGGTTCCTAAGAAAATGATCCATGTGGTTCAGATGGCAATATATATATATATATATATATATATATATATATATATATATATATATATATATATATATATATATATATATATATATATATACTATCTGTCGTGGTGCAGGGCTACTGGTTCTTTCAAGTACAGCAGGACATCTTCTCCTGCCATTGTAGGAGAAGATCTTGATTTCCAATACCCATGGCTTTAGATGCTGCACACTTAAATGTCATTGGGGAATTTCATAAAGAGTGTCATGGACACCATTTAGATTTCCATTAGGCCGCTGCACTGAAATTGTCTGGTTGTACTATTAATGTACTCTGTTGTCAATCAAAAGTAAGGCAGACTTGATGGGCAACTAGAGTTGAAATTGTAGAGCCACACCACTGCTAAGAGGTCTAGATACAACTTTATTCCATTAATGGTCAGTGGTATCATTCAAAAAGTAGCCATTGCGTTTGGGGGGTCAGAGTGCTCCCTTCATCAGGGCTAGAAAGACTTAGACCCCCAAAACATGACGTGGGCTGTTAGACCCCCAAAATGCGTTGGCTACTTTTTAAACTTGACGGAATAAAGTTGTATCTGGACCTCTTGGCAGTGGTGTGGTGCTTCAATTTGAACTTTTGTTACATTACACTACAAGCAAAGGAGACTGTGTAGATCCTCTGGGGTGTAGAAGTCCCCTGTCCAGGAACCAGACTATTTGCACCAACATTGATACTGTAAAGCAGAGTTCCACCTGGAAAAAAAAGCCAGCAGCTACAAAAACTGTAGCTGCTGACTTTTAAAATACAGACCCTTACCTGTCCCTCAGTCCAGTGGTGTCTTAACCACGGCTGGTTTCACCGGCCGTTTTCTCTCCATGGCGTCGGCATCTACAATGTGGGCACCCGGCTGTGATAGCTTATGGCTTCACAGCTGGGTGCCCACTGCGCATGCTTGAAAAGTGCTGCGCTTTGTGAATTACACCATAGTCTTCTGGGACCAGTCACATGTCCCAGAAGACTACGGGGATGGAGGAGGGGGGGGAAAACTTCTGCTTCCGATCGCCTAGGCAATCGCAGCAAAAGTGGGAGCGGGTACCTGTCAAATTTGGGTACCCGCTCCCTCCCCCTAGTCTTAGTTCCCCATCAGGCTCTGCCCACCCACAGGCACTGTGGCTGTGGAGACTAGTTCCCCATTAGGTCCACCCCTGTAACTCATGTAATTTGCAAAATATTGGCACTGTCATATTTCGGCAATAACCTCTCCAGTATTGCCAGCTGGCAAATGAATAGGGCTGAGGATACAGTACTGTGCTGAAAGCTGTTGCATTAATGACAACTACATGCCCACTCTGAGCACTAGCATACCTCTGTGAGCCAGCTCAGAGTTGGTCTTAATTGCCACCAGTTTCCTAAACTGTGAACTGGTGGTAATTCTTTAACCCCTTCATACTGCTTCCTGGTGGCCTTTTACGTAATCTTTAATGCAGGGAGGCAGAGCAGCTTCCCGATCACGTGACTCTTGTGATTGGTTCTCACAGTGGTCACATGATCACACTGGCTCTCATATCAGAAGCTGTGTTTTGCTTTAAGCGTCGTGACGTCAGAGCTCCTGACGTCACAATGCTTAAAGCAACGTACAGCAAGTATTCAGCAATATTGGAAAACCTTACTGTGGATTTAAATTTTAACTTTTAAATGCGGTTTTAACTTGTAATACATGTGAGTGCACTACTTTATTTGAATAAATTAACTTTTAAAGAGGATAAGGCACTATATCTTTTATTACATTTCATGGCCAATAAACCAATGGAGAAAAATCCCTAAGGAAGCAAGGAGACCCCCTAGTAAGAAGAGGGATACTCCTGTCCATCCATTTGGCTCCAGGAAAATCCATAAGGAAGCGAGGGGACCCCCTGCTGGGAAAAGGGGAACACTCCGTCCATCCATCCCAGGGAAAGAAGGATAATCCTATCCATTTACCACTAAGTCCAAAAAAAGGGACACAAGCTTTTTATGACCTCATTTAACAGTTTGGTCATATACAGTGAAGGAAATAAGTATTTGATCCCCTGTTGATTTTGAGTTTGGTATCTGATTGTTTGATTGCTCCTGTGGAAAGGTGTCTTTTATACAGGTAACAAAACAAGATTAGCAGCACTCCCTTTAAGATACTGCTTCTAATCTCAGCTTGCTATCTGTATGAAAGATACCTGGTAGCCAGAAATCCTGCTGAATGAAAGGGGATCAAATACTTATTTCCCTCATGAACATGCAAATCAGTGCATAATTTGTTAGACATGCATTTCTTTTGAATTTTTTGTTGCTATTCTGTCTCTCAGTGTTACAATACAACTACCATTCGATTTTTAGACTGTTCATTTCTTTGTGAGTGGCAAAACATTCAAAATCAGCAAGGGATCAAATACTTATTTCAATCAGCAAGGGATCAAATACTTTTTTTTCCTTTACTGGATATCAGGTGAGAGCACAACTGGTGAAGGTGCACAATATATTTTTTAAGCTTTGTGAACTGCACGGTTATTATTTCGCATCACAGCAATAGAAGAAGTACCAAAGGCACTGACTCATTAAGGACAAGCTTGTAGTAGCAATATAATTGCAGTGATATTGTTACATATGCTTTTGATGCAGGACTTTTATTTATTTAACACTTATTCACTCATAATCTTTGCAATTGTCAGTGGAGCGCGACATTATTTTTGATTTTATGCTTTATGACACAATGGTATGAATATGTTTAGAGAGTAAGCAAACCACAGTTTCATACATTATGTAATTGAATTTCATTTGTATATCACAATTTTAGGATATTTTATTATTTATTAGCACTTTACATACACCATAGTAGCTCACAAGACCCCACACTTTGGTGCAAATGCTTGCTTGGATTAGGGGCAGGCAGTTCTA